ACACATACATACATACATACAAAACCTATTTTATTTCACAGACATTAAAGATCCATGCTTCTGATACAAAGCTATTTTAACAGAAAAGCAAAATTGAGATAATCACAGGAGACTAGACGTTCATCATACAAACATTTTCATTGCAGTTTTATATCACAGTGCTTTGAAGATGGATGACTTTCTACCAGGATGAAAAGTGTTTGCAAAAATAGACATTTTATCTCTTCCCAAGAATTATGAATACTGGTGAAACCTGACCAAGCATGGAAGCCTATTCCCTGGAAACCATGGATGAAAACAGCTTGAATTGATACCAAAAAGAGCCTTAGAGACCCTGCAGGTGTTTCTTCAAATCGAACCCTCATTTTCCAAGCAATTAATGCTGATTCAAACCAATAGAACAATGACAAGGGGCCACATCCAGAGGAGCCCTCTTGTTTTGCACAACTGTATTTACTAAAGTAGCTCAGCCACAAATCCTGGACTTGCAGTCTCCTGGGGAGCGTGAGCAGCATGGAGGAGCTATAATCCTGCTCTCTGTGTGAGTCTGCGGGTCAAACAGTGACAATTATTTATTCTGGTAATTAACTCCTGCCTCCCAGGAAAGACCAGGACTGTCTTCTGCTTCAGATTCTCTTCAGACCATTCTCTTCATCCATACACACACGTAGGTGAAAATAACACTAAATATTACTGAAAACTACTAAAAAATCATCCCAAATAAGAGAAGCGCTTAGTCGCAGCCAGCATCAAGGGTAGTGTGGCTAGGAGAATGGGGTTACATCCTATGTCTCACATCTTAATTCGATTTAACTCATTTTCTGACTTTAGACCTAATGCCCACATGAGATAAGGTTCCTATTTCGGGTTTAATCTTCGCAGCAATGACAACAACTAAAATTGTGATTTGGTCATCAACTATTTACAGGGTCCTAAGATGCATCTGGCACTGTTCTGGGCAGTGGTAGACAACACAGCAGTGATCAAAACAGATCTGATTCATGGCACAGGCAGTTCAACGGGGGTAAGAGACTGTTGTCAACTAGCAAGTCAACACATGGTATGTCCATGGTGTTAAGTGTGTGGCTAAAATAAAGTTGGATAGAGGGCAGGAGTGCTGGTGTGGGGGCAGCAGTGGGGTGCTCCTATGTTCCCTTAGTTGGGTGGACACTGGAACACAAATCTAGAGGAAGGGAAGCATTAGCCTCTGGGGTAACACGTGAGAGAGTCCAGGAAAAGAGCATGGCGGTAGTGGGGGAGACCTAGAGGCAGGATGGCCATCTTGTCTGAACAGTAAGTGTGTGGAAGCAGAGAGGGCAAGGGGTGGAAAAAGTCCACAGGCAGGGGAGGGCAGAGGGATGGGTAGGAAGGTAGATAATAAAGCTTTGTAAGGACCTCTGCTTCTCACTGTAGAGAAGGCACCCAATACAGGGCTGTGAGCAGAGGCAGGGCAGAATCCAGCACCCTATCCCCCTATGTTAGAACGATATAAGCACAATGAAACAGAACCTAATTACCTGACCCCTAGAGGTAGATCCAAGTTTTGTTTGCTTTGAATCTTACACAATTTCTGGCTGTGTGGGATTTCTGTAAGAAAAAAGGAGATGTGTATATGAATAAAAATTAGGTATAAAAGTGATTTTGTTAGAACAAGAAAATAAATCACAACAAATTTCAAACATAGAAAGTATTTAAATAACACAAAATCACAAGAAAGTTTTTTAAATACTACTTTTTATTTTATTTTTTTGAATAATGTATGCTCACCTTTATTTTTTTATTATGTTATATTAGCCACCATACAGCACATCATTAGTTTCTGATGTAGTGTTCAATGATTCATTAGTTGCGTATAACATCCAGTGCTCATCACAACATGTGCCCTTAAAAAAATCTTTTTAAAAATACTACTTTTTAAATTAAGTACCTGAAACACCTGTTAACATTTTTTGTTGGGGGGGGGCAATATTTTTGACCAAATACCCTCAATCAAATCTTCATATGACAAGAATTTAGTAACATTTTCTCAATGGGGAGAATTAGGAGATGCTTCAGTCTTCCTTCTAATTTTATGGGTTGACTTGTATCCCCAACAGAAAGATATGTTGAAGTCCTAAACCTCCAGTATCTCAGAATGTGATCTTACTTGGAGATAGAATTGTTGCAGATGTAATTAGTTTAAGATGAGGTCATACCGGAATAGAGTGGTCCCCTAACCCAAGATGTTGGGTATCTATGTGAAGACACAGAGATATAGGGAGAAGACCAGTGAGGATACAGGCAGACATTGTAATGACACCACTACAAGCCAAGGAATCTCTGGAGCCACCAGACGCTGGAAGAGGCAAGGAGAGATCTTGCCCTGGAGGCTCCAGAGGGAGCATGGCTCTGTAAACGCATTGACTTTGGATTTCTGGAACTTTTCCAGAACTGTGAAACAATGCATTTCTGCTGTTTTAGGTCACCCAGTTTATGGTACTTGGTTATGGAAGCCCTAGGAAATTAATCCATCTAGTAAGATTGATCAAAATTTGTTTTTTATTATAGAGAATTTAGAAAATATTTTAGCTTCACAACTCATTATTGGCAATGTGATGAAAATGATTAGTATTGTTGAATTGGAGAAAAACGCTATCAAGTTTCTGTCCTATTGAGCTGTTACAGATGATTTCATGTAATTTCCATATGTGTGTGTATATATACATATATACGTGTGTGTATATACACACATACATATAATTAAACACACTGCGTTGCTGAAAATTCTTGACAAAAAGAATCTGTTTTGACTAGGTGTCAATGGGAAATAAATCCTTCACATAAAATTTTGCATGTCTGATGACCAGAAGGATTTTATGCAGATTAGCTCCAGGCTCTGGGAACTTCAAACCTTGTTTCCCCTCCTTTATTTGCTTTTCTGTAATCCCAGATACATGATCTGTATTCATATTGCAGTATAACCTCTGTTCTGACATGTTTATAACCTGATGCTCGGTAAGCTGGCACAGTGGATGGTAGAAAAATATCTGGAAGACATTCTGAATTTGAAATAGCTGAAAATAATTTGACTCTACCTGAGAAATGACTGAGTAACAAACTCAAAGAATATGTACCCAAACTTAATTTGCCCTTCTTTAGATCCCCCGAATCTTCTTGGCCACTCTAGTACTTCTAAGTGGTAAGGGAGGTATGACAAGGATAAGTTATAGTGGAAAGAAGAGGCAGTCTTGACCAATCAGAATTATATACCTAACATTTACTACTTATACAAAAATCATATGGATTTCCAGGGCTTTGGAGGGCTCCTTATGCAAGGGAGGAGTGTATTTTGTATGAGCTTTGTGGTAAATTTACTTTCCTGTCTCACATTTGTTGTTAGGGATCTGACAGTTGTTTTAAGGGCACAATGGTTCAAATGCTCAGTGTGATGATTAATTTTGTGTGTCAGATTGACTGACCTAAAGAATGCTCAGATGGCTGGTAGAACTATTTTTGGGTGTATCTGTGAGGGTGTTTCTGGAAGAGAAATTTAGCATCTGAATCAGTAAACGAATAAAGGAGATCCCCTTCACCCATGTGGGTGGGCATGATCCAATCCATTGAGGGCCCAAATAGAGCAGCAAGGTGGAGAAAGTGTAAATTCTTGCTTTCTCTTCTTGAGCTAGGACATTCATCTTCTCCTGCTCTTAGATTTTGGAGCTCCTGGTTCTTAGGCCCTTGGGCTATGGGACTTATCCAAGCACCCAACCTCTCCCCCAAACCCTGGTTCTCAGGCTTTGGTCTCAGACTGGGAGTTACACCATCAGTTCTAAATTATACTATGGACTAAATTATACTATGAGCCTTCCTGGTTCTCCTGCTTGCAGATGGCATATCATGGCAAATCTCAGACTCCATCATCAGGTGATCCAATTCCCATATTAAATTCCTTCTTATACATCTCTATATATTATATATTTCCTTTTGGTTCTGTTTCTCTGTCGAACACTAATATGTCCAGATTTATAGATTTGCTTTGTCCTTTAGCACAATGGTTCTCAAAACACAGTGTACAAGAATCACTGTCCAGGGTTGTGTGTACAAAATAGGTATTCTGTAAGTAATTTCAGGGATGTTTTAAGGTAATCATTAGAAGATAACGCCCATCTCATGTAAAAGGAAACTCCACAGATGCTCCCTTTTAAAATCAGGTATTTCTGCAAATAAGCAATGGAATGTACCCTCTAACAAGAATGGTATTGCATCCATATATTTAAAAATAAGGTTCAGAAAAGGGAAAGCCCTCACTTCTTGATATTAGAAGGAGGCAGGTGGCCTTTGCACATCTTTATTTTTCAAATGTTGAAGCCTCATAGGTCATGGAGAAGTTTCTCAATAATCTGTTTTCTGGATGTGTGAAGGCTGAATATCCAACATTAAAGATCAAAAGTATTCATTGCAAAGGTTACATTTTTATGATATATGAAAATAAGTATCTCAATTTAGAATTTATAAGAAATATTTTAGTCTAAAATGTCTTGTGTTAAATGAGAAACTAAACTTACATAACTCACAGAAGGTCCCATAATTAACTGTTTTAAAAATATCTGCTAGGGCACCTGGGTGGCTCAGTTGGTTAAGTGACTGCCTTCGGCTCAGATCATGATCCTGGAGTGCTGGGATCAAGTCCTGCATCGGGCTCCCTGCTCAGCGGGGAGTCTGTTTCTCCCTCTGACCCTCCCCCCTCTCGTGCTCTCTCTTTCTCATTCTCTCTCTCAAATAAATAAATAAAATCTTTAAAAAAAAAAACCATCTACTAATGGTAACAAACAAAATAAAAAAAATAATATTTATTATAATAAATTATATATATTATATAATAGCAATTATATATGAATTATATAGCAATTATATATAATGCAATAACAATATATATCATACAAATATATATAATTATATAATATAACAATTACATATAATTTAATATATAATAACAATTATAGAATAATAATATAATGGTAATTAACATAATCTAATAATATTATATAATTATATAATCATTATTAATAATATTATACAATGATATTATCACAGAAATTATATAGGACTCAGCAATCACCAAAATGCAACTTTGATCAGTAAGAAAACTTATTTTATGCTGCTCAAATTCAGCCAGAATGCCCATGGGACCTGTAATTACAGTGACTCATCCCTGAAAATGTTGTGAGTAGTCCCTGTTCGTACAAGAATGCATTGGTCTTTGCTTATAAAATTTCACTGAAGTTAGAGCAACTTAGAGGTGATGATTTTGGATACAGAAATTATTACATCAGGTAAATCCATCAACAGTGTTTCAACACAGTGGGTTTTACGTTTTTATCAAGTTTTCAAAACATTCTTTCTGTTCTTCCTTCCAAACACATTGTTTACTTCCACAGACTTCTTTCTATCCAGGTGAAATCATGAGTTTGATTAATTATATCATGACCCTATTGAAGATAAAATAAAATAAAGTCACTGGATTCAGAAAAGGATCATAGAAATAAATCTGAATCACACTTTTAATTTTAGAGATTAGGGCACTGAAACCACAGAAATGACTTCCCCGAAATCACATTTTATGTAATAAAGGACCTGGTATTTATTCTGATGTCTCCGCTATGTTGATCTCCTGTAGCAGACATATAGCTCAGTTTTCCAAAAACTTTGGTTTCATCCTGTCACCCTCCTCTCTTCCAAGATAAAATTTAGACTCCTAAGCCTGGCATTTGAGACTTACCTCAGTTTGATTTCATGAAGTTTGCATGAACAATATTCACCATTACTCCTCAGCATAACCATGCTTCTAAAGGTAGCTTGACCTCTTTTCAGGTCACAGAACATGACTTGCTCTGTCTGCAAGTTTATAAAATCAGAAAGCTCTATTAGACTGATGAGAATGCCATACAAACAAGATGCTAGACAAAGGACTTAGCGATTAGATCAACTGACTTAGATGAGTGTATGTTCACAAAATCCAAAGATCAATAGTTTCTGAGTCAGAATTCTGTACTGTTGGAAGAAGAAACTGGAGAGGTAGAAAGAAAATAATTTCTAAGTAGACTGACATCAACATCTCATTGTGTATAAAGACCAGGTGGCACCAAGAAGGGAGAAGATTCTGAAAGATGTTGTCAAGGTCAACCTGCAAAATTCTATGTAAAAAGTAGAAACATGCAGGAAGTTAGCTCTTTCTAAAGAAGTCTGGATCTGCATTCAAGGCATCAGGTGGAACTAAATGGGATGATCAGGAACACAAATTCCAGGTAGAGAGACAAGGGTAATGACCTAGGCGAGGTTCAGATAAGCGAGGGCCACCTGTGGACGGGACTATGACAGTTGACACAAACACGGGGCCACCTTTAATTCTGCTTTTCTTAGTCTTGTGTAATCAGAATTGGAAGATATTTCCTGGAAGGCAAAGAAAGAGAATTTTTTTCCCAATACTTCTGGGTAGCCAATGGCCATAGAAGAAGCTTGAAGCAAAAAATCTAAACAGACACACACATACTCTTACGGACAGCTGTGCATCTACTACTCCCCCTTCTCCCTCTCCATCCAAATTTCATTTTTTTTTTCCTCTGAGTTTGGGGGAGACATGTGCACTCCTTATTTTGGAGGCTCTTCTTGGGAGGTTTTGTCACTGATATCTGTGTTACTTTAAAATCATTCCTAACAGTTCCTTCACAGAGGAGATACAGAATGAGAAACCAAGAACCATAAATAGCAGGACTAAAAAATTCAGTTCAAGTGCGTTGATATGTAGCCACAAAAAATAAAGCTCCTCCAAGTTTATCAGCATTGAAAAGAGAATATAATTTGGGAAGAGTTTCCATTACCCCTATACGAACATACACCTAAATCGCTGAAAAATGCGATGGATTAAGAAGCTCAAAAACAGGGCTCTTCACAGTCAGCCCTAAATAAAATTATGACTGAGGGTCAGGACAATCAGGAAGAGCAGGAAGAGAAGAGCATGAGGAATTTATCAGAAATGTCCAGAAAATTGTCAGGACCAATAACACGTATAATATCCACTTTCAATGAAACCCTGAGTAAAACATTATTCTAAGACATAGCAACCTGATATGTCTTCTTAAATGGAAAAAAAAAAGGAAGGGCATCAATTAGATTCCCATATTTGTTGAAGGAAGTATCATAAATTTCTCATTACAGTGCACTGTTTATTCTATCAAACAGTAGCTATAGTCTTATAACACGTAAGTATTCATATATTAAATATTTAGAGTAATTGAGATATTTAAGTGTAACCAAAAAAGGTCCAAATTCTTAAGCATCACTATGATGTTAATTTTTAGTTTTTCCCTAATACTTAGATTTTTTTTTTAAGATTTTATTTGAGAGAGAGAGAGAGAGAGCACAAGCAGGCAGAGGAGCAGAGGGAGAGGGAGAAACAGACTCACCTCTGAGCAGGGAGCCTGACGCAGGGCTGGATCCCAGGACCCGGGCATCATGACCTGGACTGAAGGCAGAGGCTTAACCAACTGAGCCACCCAGGTGCCCCCCTCCTAAGAGTTAGAATTTAAGAGAGCAACCGGTTCCCTTTGAGTTACAAAGCCACATTTGTAAGCTCTTTGTAAGGTCTTTGCACATGTATTGTATCCGACTGACTCCCATAGTTATTCATGCTGTCTCCAGCCAACAGCACATCAGGGCTATTCCTTGCCCTCAAGCCAAGTTCAGCTCATGTAAAATTAGTATGTACAAGATGAGCACATGAATTTGGTGCAAAGAAGCCAAACAGAATATGAGAGGAAAGCACATGCTGATGCACCTGCTTCAAACTGTCTGGGCTCTTGGCCTCCCAAGGTTATTCACCAGACATGTGGAAATATTAACTGAGCTAAGATTTACTGCCGAGCAGCCTCGCTGTCTGCCACACGCTTCTTCCATGCAGCAAATCTGTTTTCTAACTTCAGTCTATCTGATGACCAGAAGAGAGGCAAAAAAAAAAAAAAAAAGAAAAGAAAAGAAAAAAAGAAGAAGCAAGAAGAGCAAAAAGCTCTAGACAGGTTTTTAATCAAAAGGGAAATATCCATTTCTCATTTGATCCAAATATAGGAATATTCAAGAAAAAAAATAACAGCTATCTTTTACAAAATCTCTTTCTAGATTTCATTTGTCATTCTTTCAAAAGGCTATGTTTCTTTATTTGCCAAATTGGCTTACTTTAAGGGTTCTTTATTGGGTCCCTAAAAGAACAGAATGTCTTGTTCATTTACATACAGTAAACAGATGTTTCCTCCAAACAGCACAAAATTGGGAAATAATTCTGAAACTCAATCCATTCATTGTAGCTTTGAAAATCCTGGCTAACAAGAATCCCAAAAGGATGTACTGCCAGTTGTTTACATGAGCAGATTATGTTATAAAAACATGTTTACGAAAGACCATTCATCTTTTGTTTCTTGCATACTGAGGTCAGTTTAACTACTATTCCAGAGACAAGCATTATGGTCTTCTATTATTTATCTATTTGTGTTGTGATAAAACTGGCATTCAGAAACAGTCTGGCAATATACATGTCAAACTTTATTGTCGTGGTTCAGTTCTGCTTCGGAAGTTGGAAATGAAGTCTGAAAGAGAAATATTTCCTTCCAGAGGTCATTGGTTAATCTTCATTTGTCTAGCAAAGATTATTTTCTCTCTGTTTCATTCTCGAAATTAGGAAAAAGAAAAATAATTCTTCCAACTGTCCTGGGATTCTTTTTTTCATTCTCATCAATTATCTTAGCAAGTCATCTATTGACTTTTCTCTGAATTCCAAATACAACAATAATTTGTACCTTGATGCTGAATATTAGCGGATCCTAAAGTAGTAAGTTGCAATGAACATAAAACATTATGGAAAAATTGCTCAGATCTCTGTAGGTTTTGATTGCTTTCTTTTGTTTTAACAAGCTTGCAAACTAGGTAATTCCAAGCCTAGCAAACCTAGGAGAACAAACTAATTATAAAACTGAGCAAGCAGTGGGGAAACTACTTTCCCCACCCCATCTTGAACCCCCTCACCCCCATATCAGAGTAAGAAGACAAATCCTAGGATAATCCTAGGATAAGATTCCTAGTACAAATAGGTTTTGAATTCTTGGATGGTTTCCCAAGAAGGCCTCAATTCCAGAAATTAACCAGATACTTAGCAGTTTCATTAAGTGGAAGGTTAACATTTGCTTTATTAGTGAGGCAGTTTTGAAGATTACAAAATAAAAATAAACAACCCCACCATGGACACAGCCAAAGGTATTTAGCCTGTAAATAACCCTAGTGCCAACACTGTTTGAGGTTTATGAGAAGACTTTACTTTTACCCACCTACAGAAGGAAGACCAGAGGGGCGCCTGAGTGGCTTAGTAGAGCATGTGACTCTTGATCTAGAGGTTGTGAGTTCGAGCTCCATGTTAGGTATAAAGATGACTCAAAAATAAAATCTTAAAACAAACAAACAAAACACGAAGGAGATAATGTTCTGAGGTGAAGAGTCTATAGTCACATTGCTTTTGTTGAAATTAGTTTGCAGCATTTATTAAGCACCTACTCTGTTTCTGATACCATTCTAGTTGCTGGGAATATAGTCATAATCAGAACAAAAGTCCCTTATATTCTAGTGGGGGAGAGAGAGACAATAAACAATGAAATATAAGATAGGTTAAATAGTAATAAGTGCTAAGGAAGAGTAAAAAAGATCAGGAAAGTGGTATACAAAACATGTGTGGGTAACATTTGGACCAGGGTGGATGAGAGGCTTCCCGGGGATGGAGAGCTGAGTACAGCCTGAGGCATCCCCAGTGTGAAAGAGCTCTGAGGGTGTCAGTGCAAGCATGCTCCACACAGAGGGAACAGCAGGTGCAGACGCCCTGAAATAGGACTGACCCTGGAGTGCTGGAGTGACAGTAAGAGGTGGGGGGCCCATGGAAACACACTGCTTGGTTTTCTTGCTGTGGGGGCAAGAGCTGGTACAGCCCTATCTGCCATTCCCTTGGATTCACCAGGATGTTCACACTGAGGTCATGCTTCACTTGGGCTGCTCCCAGCTGTTGACTGATCATGGTGAGGGCATTAGTGTAGGTCCCTTCCTGGGGGATGGGAGACTCCTCTAATCATGACTTTGAGGACTTTGATGACTTTTGAGTATCCTCCATTAGCCTGGCCAAAACTTTCTTAGACTGACCCCACAGTCAGACACTATTCTAACCCAATCCTCCTTCCTTCCCTGTCTCCTGTCTTCCTTCCCTGTCCCTGTATTGGATGTGCATGATGGTGTGAACACTGTCTACCCACTCCTGTTCCTCCACCCAGTTTACAGGTGTACATGATGGTGTGAACACTGCCTACCCACTCCTGCTACCCCTCACCCAGTTCATGGGCATTATGAGAACAGAACTCTCAGCAGGCACATAACAATTCTGTCCAAACCCCTGCATGAAAACCAAACTGCATTACCAAACTCTAGCATGACTTCTAGCAGCAGAAGCTTTGTCCCTAGGATGGACCTAGCCCTCCATTAAAATGCCTGCCTGAGAAAACTACAGGCTGCCAGGGAAATTTACTATTTGTTCTAGGCAACATTTGAAAATAGGCCCATTTCTCCCTTTCTTAGTACATTTACTACAAAGGGATTACAATTGTGAATATATATCTTCAAGGACGCAGAAGCATCTTCTTCAAGGACCTGAGAGCCAATCTTTTGAAATGTTATCATCAGCAAAAACAGAGCCTCTGTCTCCCAGGATCTTTGGGAGGATAGAATCCTAACTTCAGTAACTACCAGCTTGCAAACACAGTGGGCCTGATGGCATTTACACTGACCAACCTCTTCTAATTGTTCACTTCTCTACCTCTGTTGAGTCCCCTCCCCACCTCTCTCACTCTCATTTTAAAATATTCAAATCACCTCTGCACACATCGGAATAGAGCCCAACTCTTTTCCCTACTGTCAACAGTTACTGCATAAATTCTGTTTTCATTGCTTTAACTAGTGTCCAGCTGTGTTTATTTTTGTCAATTTCCTTTTTTTTTTTTAAAGATTTTATTTATTTATTTGTCAGAGAGAGGGAGTGAGCCCATAAGCAGGGGGAATGGCAGGCAGAGGGAGAAGCAGGCTCCACACTGAGCAAGGAACCCAATGTGGGATTCAATCCCAGGACCCTGGGATCATGACCTGAGCCGAAGGCAGACACTTAACCAAACCAACTGCACCACCTAGGCACGCCTCTTTGTCAATTTCTACCAGTAGATCTCTTGCCCATTTCATTCCATCTTTGTGTCTGCTTCTTGGAGGTCCTATACTCACCCAGGAGTCCATGTGGCTAGAGTCTTGAAAAGTGGGATAGGGATGGAGATGAAGCCAAGGAATCAGCAGTGGATCAGGTCATGGTAAGGACTGAAACTTACTTTGAGTGAAATGAGGATGAAATAGAGTTTTGAGCAGAGAAATCCTTTTTTAACAGGATCCTTCTGCCTGTTCTCCTCCTGGGAGGCAAGGCCAGGAGCCCCAGTAGGAGGCTATTACAATAATCAACAGGAAGTGTGACTTATTTCAGGGTGGTGTCAATGGGGGTGATGGGAAATGATCATACTCCAAATATATTTTGAAAGAAGAACTAAAAATATTTAGTGATGGAAAAAAATGTGGGCTGTAGAAGAAAAAGAAAGGTCAGTGCAGAAAATAAGTCCATCAATTCGAGCATCTAGATGAATAAAGTTATGGGTGAACCTGAAGAGGATATGGTTTGGAGCAGAATATCAGGAACTCAGTTTTAGCTATTCCATGCATACAGAGAGAAAAGTATCTGAAAACATTATCTTGTAGTGGTATATGAAGAATTTTGGTTGAGAAAAAAAGAGAGAAGTGAGAGAAAAAGTAAAACATTCTCAATCATGCAAATAACCTAGGGAGAATAACTAAAATAAGATGTTATTCGTTGTGAGTTCCCAGTTGAAATTCAGTTCCAGATGAAGATCACTGAATTTGCAATTTGATAACATGTTGTCCTCTGGGTCTTATCTAGATTCCAAACATGGGCAATGGCTATGTTCTGCCTAGACTGCAAATGGTATCTCTGCTCAGACTCTGGAGATTTATAATCATGAACATCAGTGCCTCTTTCAGCACAAATTAACTCATCAAAATAGCTATTCTTAAAAAATGCCTCAAAACCTCATTAATTTCAACATTAGTATTTTTGGTATCTTTATGTAGTTTCTTTTCTCTAGGAGTTGTTTTATAATACCTTTGTTGCCACACTTGAATCTGTAACTGAGTCTCTTGCTTACACATTCTTGAATGGTTCTTTATCAACCTCCTCACACTCTTAGCTTAGAGTTAAAATTTATTGCCAGCTAAGTATCTCCCCACCTTCCCTTTGGCATGATACTGGCAGCCAAATGTTCCTTCATATCTCAAAAAGGTAATTTATTCACTTGATTTAGGATATACAAGTAAAATAACAATAACCTTATTTTAAAGCTTGTTCCTCCTATCTAAAATAATAATAATAAAGTCAACAGTTCTTTTAACTACTTTAGAAGTGGATTCTACTGAATAGAATATTCAGCCCATGACCTATTTTATTGTCAGAAAGTGGTAACTCATCTTTTAACTTTCAACAATTATTATTTGATTTGTAACAGTAATATGCTTAATAATGGATTTGAAGTTAGAGACATTTTTTAAAATATTGGCCTACTACTTTTGAATAACATTTAATAAGCCTCAGTAAGATAGAAGATCAAAACTGTAAAGGTCTTTCAACATAATTTGTGGCTAGTGCTAAAGGTAGAGGACCCTCTCACTGCCTTGTTTGAAGAACAATGACAGCTAAAGCAATATGCCCAGAGGAACATCAAGGAAGTTTTACTCTTGCAGTTGGGAGTCTAAT